CCAAAAGACACAGATGGGTGGGCGGTACCAAGAGTAGGCAGGCAGGGTCCCGGGCACAGGGAATCAGAGAATGAGCAGATGGAGCACAGTGTTCACAGCAGAGGGGAAGCTGTTGCCTGCCCAGTGGGACACAACCTGCGTGGGAGAGCAGTCCTGGGCTTGCAGGGAGGCCTGCCTCTGAGTGAGGTCACTAGGCCATCCTGAAAGCTGGCCTGCTCCCTCCCAAACCTGCCAGCCAGAAGCCACTGCCTGCTTCCCACTTGCCAAGTGGCTGCTATCTTTGTACACAGGTTAACCTGTGTGTTTCTGGGTAGCCCTGTGAAATATGGACTACGAGACCCCTTTCACCAGCCCACACCTTGCCCTTTTTGCCGTGAGCTCTTCCACAGAGACTGATTTCCCACTTTCTGTTACTTTCCTAGGATTAAAAGCCACAAAATGCAATGTAGTTGAAACTACATATATGAGATAACATATCAAGCCAGGGTTACTGATAACTTACAGTAGCTAGCAGAGGTAAGAGAAATTAAAGTTTGAGATGGTAGACACAGGAAAGACAGTCCTAGTGAAGATGCGAAGTGCATGAGGGTGGTGGAAGCAGAGTCAACACAAGAGCACCTAGCTTAGTGGTCAACAGGAAGGTGGCTTCTGAAATCAGTAATAGAATCCCCAAATCCAACCATTTGCTTCCCCAGGAAGCCAAGAGTTGGTTACACCCTTAACTGGGAATATCATGCTGTGCCAGGACATTCCTACACTTCGCCATCTTCTGTCAGGCCAAAGCTGTAAGATGCCAGATTTGGGGAGCGAGGAGCTGGGAGAGCAGCTAGACTGCACAGGCTGCCCTTAATCATAAGATTTACAAAGTTACCTAGATGGCCCTAGATTCAGTAGAAGCGATAGCAGGCAGCTAGGAGCTTTCCAGATCATATTGCATTCCCCTGTAAATGGAACCTATCAAAACACTGGTCCCGATTCTGCGGCTTCCTTCCAGTAACCACTGCTCACATGGAACAAAGGGAGGTGGCTGCGCTGTCAGCCAAGAGAGAACAGCAAGATTAACGGCCCATGACATACAACACAATGTGCCCAGACCAACAGCCCAGGGCTGAGCTCTGAGCAACGGATGTGTCCACCTCCCTCTTTGCTTTACTTTCCTCCACTGACTCCCCCAGCTGCTCTGCACGTATTGCCTTACCTAGAAATACTCCTCTCCTCTTGCCTTTACCTGTGCCTGTGCCAGGGATGGTGGGCCAACACTTGGCAACCTCTCTGCAGCAGGCATCTCTGTGGTGCTGAGGCTGAACCTCTAACCTACATCCCCAGCTCTCTGTGAGGCAGCGGCTCGCAGTGGATGAGACTCAGACTCTGTTGATTAGATGCGCCAGTGTGCGGCTGGGACAGAGGGAATGAGACAGGGCCCTTCTTTCTGCCACTCGGCCACTCCGGAGCAGATGCAGCAGCCCCTCTCCAGGGCTGGTGTGTTTTGAAAGTCTTTCTAGGAGTGTTCCTTTAGTTCTCCAATGCTATTGTAAGCATCTAGTTTTTCCCAGTCAGCTTTTAGATAGGTTTGTTTGAATCATTTTCTACAGCTGAGCCTGGTCTATGAGGATAACCACTGTAGCTGTCTCTGTCTCTGCATGTTCCAGGTGTGACATCACCTCAGGATTCGTCCTTCTTTGGAATGTTTTCAAGCCCAGAGGCCCATGTTAGATAGGGTTGGTGCCCCAGAGTCCAGACGAACTCTCTCTGGGTACACCCAAGGGATGGAGCTTTGGACATGGTGCTGGTGAGAAACTGAAAGGATGTAGCCTGCAAAGGTTCCCACTTCCAGGAGGTCAGCATTAACTTTTAAAGTGATAATTCAAATAATCCATTTCAGAGTCACCCTCTCGAATAGTCACATAGCTGATCCCATTCCTGTCAGAGATTTTTAAACTCCAAACACACATCAAGGTTGAGGAGGTACATTTTTACTTCTGGGGAATGACTTGATTATTACTTGCCCTTTGGAATCAAAAGCTGAGTCTCATCCACATATAGGGGTTAACCATCTAGCTGCTGCAGGAAAAAATCGCTTGGATCTTTATTCTGCTGGAGAATTCACATTTGGATATTTTCTCTTTCTCATGGCTTTGTGATTTTCTACTTGACTTTCATTTGGAACATAAGGCTTTTAAAAATACTTAGAAAAAAAAATATTTAGAAAAAGAAGTATTCTGCTTTTTTAGATTTTTAGACTGGAATTACCTTTTCTACCCACTGTTATACACCAAGAGGAATTAATTTCTTGCCAAAGTTATTGTAATGATATGGTCTGGACTTTAAGGGGTGATCAGTTTTGGACATTTTCTTGAAGCACACATTCTTCCTGCTCCTCCTAGAAAATTATTACCCAAGTGAGCCACAGTTACTGCCAGGACTGTGTGGTATCCCTTCACTTTTAGGGTTACCAAGGGATTGAGAACTGTTGTGACAAAACACCAGGAGTCCCAAACCCCTTGGAGTCTCTTCTGCAGGTCATAACACCTCTTGCTCAGTGGAAACATTCTGAAACAGTCCAGGCTGCCATCAACCCCGGGGCTGGGATTTGCCTATATCACCTGTGTTTGCTCACTTATTTATTTGTTCTCTTTTTACATGTAGGCTTTTCCTTTGGACTCTGAAACAGTCAATTTCTGGAAAAGTCACAATTAAATCAATCTTTTTGCTTTTCTCATGTCAAGGAGCAGGTTTCCCTGGTCTTCTCTCAGCTGGCAGCAACACTTGGCTATCTTGGCCTGGCTTCAGACCCCTGCAGAAAGTATGACATGTTTCCAGCTGAATGACCTGGTCACTGCTGGGCTCTTTTGCCAGCAGAACCTTGGCATTTTGGGGAAAAGCTCATAAAAAGATGCATTGTTTAAAACTATGACTCCCTTCTTTTTCTACTCTAACTGCTGATCCATTTTTTGCTTGTGAGAGTTATGCTTGCCAGAATTCTTGTGAGACCTGACAGCTAGTCTCTTCTAGATATCAGAAAAATAGGACATATATTGTCCTGTGAAGATGTGGCATGGTTGTATGTGGAAGCCGAACCCCATGGCGTTTAAGGGGTAAGCAATGGAGTTGGGTTGACAAATAATGTCTATGCCTCAGTTTCCTCATTTACACAATGGGCATAATGAGACTACCTCATTATGCTGTGCAAATTCAGTCAGATAACATACACCAAAAAGCCCAATAGGGCCTGTGCAGTCAGTGAGAGCTACTTTCATCCGGCTGGAATAAAGGACACAGGAGGAGATGAAGAAGTAACTGCATCCTTAAAGCCAATAGCCTAAATTTGGAAAATTGTTCCCTAGATGATCATTTTCCCCTAAGGAAATTTACATCTGCTCGTGTTTTTGAGATTGTATGCATTTTGCAAAGAAATATTTTTTTAAATAACATCATCTGAATGAAGTGGGTCTCCCCTAAACTAATCTGCAATTGGAACATTCATAATGTTTGTGAGGGATAAAGCTTATGTCTCTCCTTTTCTTGTTCTAGGTAATTTATTAGCATGTCATTGTAAAATATGAAGAGAGTATTGCAAGGTAAGTCATAGTTTTTGAAAAAATTCTGCAAAGTTCTCTTTTTAGTACTAATAGGGAAATCTCTGGCCTATTTCTTCAAACTGTAAAGGTGTTTGTGCCTAGAATCTCACAAGAAACCTATTAATACCAATCTTGACATAAATTAAGAATCCTGTCATACCTCAGGTGACAGAGCAGAAGAAAAAGCTTCCAAACCACAGCATCCGGGGAGAATCTTTGTTATTAGTTGGAAGAGACTTAGCAGGAACCTCAAATGTCTGACTTTTAACCACAGGCTGATTATCAAACTGATGACTGAGTTTGGTATAAGCAATATTTTTATGAGGAGAAAAATTAACATAATTTTAACTCAGATGAAAAAAAAAAAATCTGCCCAGAGCATCTGGAATTTTATAAAGCCAAACTAACCAACTGTTTCATGTGAGAAAGGCAGTGACTGGTCTTGAGGGGAGGGAAAATCTTTAAATCGGCACAGTCCATTTAAGAAATAAGCATCATTTTCAAATGACAAATTCTTCAATAACAAAAGTTGAACCAGACATAATTGAATTGCAGCTGTGTTACAGAAAATGTTTAATCTGTAGTTGTCTACTGTTTTAGGAGCCATGGGAAAGAGACATATTACAAAACCTAAGAGTATGTACGAAATTCTGGAGCAGAAGAGAGGAAGCGCTACTGAACCCCTGCCACGGAGTGGTTCACCTGGGCACCTCGGTGCGACTCCACGTGACCGGAAGTAAACAACTGTGGGGAGGGAACGAACTGCAAATCACCTGGGGAGGTTGGTCGGGATAGGAAGGGTTCCAGCAGCCTGCAGCTCACCACACAGTGTGCGCTTCATCGTATGAAACCACCAAATCCCTCTGTTGGGCATCACATTGTTTCCATGGCATATTGAGGAGTTATGAAATCAGGAACAAATCCAACTTCTCAGCATTGCTATGGATTCAAACGAGGCTGTGTTCAAATGAACACTAACCGTGGCCAGGGTTCCTACTGATCTTCTAAGGGCAGAGGGGCCAGTAAGCACATTCAGAATCTCTTTGAGTTGAAGGTTAACAACAATCTATCCATAAAATAGTTGAATTGTGACATTGAAGCCCTTTTACCTATAATTTGTCACGCTGACACATTTCAGGTAATCTTACTCTGCAAAAACAGATGAACTCAGGTATATGGGGCTAGGAAACGAGACAATTTTAGCAATTTTTCAACAAAAAAGATTTCAAGAAAAGGTTTCTATTACAGAGAGAGAGAGAAAAAAAAACAGGTGGGCAATAAAGAAGAATAAAACAGAAAACATGTTAGTGCTTTTAAAAAATTCTACAATCATACAGTAAACTGAAACCTTATGAGATGTCTATCGTCTTCCTTTTGGGGGAAAGCCAAGCTGGTATTCACCTCAGCCCGCCCGAGACTTACATCATATCCGCTGTTACGTATTCCGCGCCGGGGTCGCTCCCGAGTCACCAGAAGGTCCATCTCTGTTTCTCCAGGGCTCGGGCTATTCAGACTCTGCCGGCTTCGGTAGACGGAGTTCTTCATCTGTTGCCTGAAGAAAATTCAACCACTGTTATGATGCAGCAAATGCCCTGACAGATGGAATTCTCCACTGATCCAAACTACAGGCAGCCAATGAGGGTTTGGATTTGCCTCGCAAACCTCAGAATTGATGGTATTTGTTACTGGGCCATGAGGGGCCATAGAAAAAGTGAAATAAAGATGATCCCCCCCCCCATACTGTAACCTTTTGGCTGAATGGTAAATGTTCTTTCATATGAAAACTAGGTAACAATAATCAATTGCAATGTTGTGATCTCCTCTGAAATTCTGCAGATGGCAAGGGCAGGGACTCTCCTTTGACCCTTGAGGACAGCTAGCTGGAGACAAACTTGCTTTTGCTGACTTTGTTGACTCAGAGCCTCCTGTTCCTTTTATCTTTCCGATTTCACACACAGGTTTCCACCAGGTATTAATAATCCCTGTGGCTAATGAGCTGCTTAATACTGCAATGCTGATGGACTTTTTCTGTTCTATCTTCACCACAGTGGAATCCCTTCTGGAGTAAAGAGCCACAAAATGACAGGCAACTTGGGGCTCATTTGTATGTCCGTCCCTCCATCTGTCCGTCCATCCATGCATCCAATATTTACTTAGTGCTCACTATGTACCAGGCCCTGTGGAGGAAGATAAGGACCTACAGTGAGGATGACAGACCCGGCCTTGCTCTTTTGGAGCCTGCTTTTGAATGAAAGAGAAAGATAATTCACATGATAATTTCAAAGAATGATACCCACTATTAAGCTGTGACCGAGGGCCCTCCCTGGTGTCAGACGGGTTAGGATGCAGCACTGTAAACAAGCCACAGCCACTTCAGCGAGAGTTTGGTCCCCAGCCCCGGAGGTGACCCACATGGTGCGGCAGACCTCTCCTGTTTCGCCCACTGCTCCCCTCAGCAGTGTACTTCATCAATATACCTACTCTGCTCCCCACTCTGTCTCTGGTGAATTCTCTCACCGACCCTGCACCTCTGGCCTGTGCCCCAGTTCTGTACGCATAAATAAATCTTTAAAAAGGCCCTCCCTGGTGGCGCAGCGGGTTAAAGTGCAGCACTAAGAAGTGAAAGCCACTTTCGCATCAGTTTGATCCCTGCCCCAGAGGTGACCCATAGCGTGGCAGACCTCTCCTGACCCACCCACTGCTCCCCTCAGCAGTGTACTTCGTTAGTCTGCCTGTTTCTACTCTCTACCCTGTCTCTGGTGAATCCTCTCACTGACCCTGTACCTCTGGCCTGTACCCCAGTTCTGTATGCACAAATAAATCTTTAAAAAAAAATCTTCAAAGAAATAAAGATGTGACAGAGGGTGACTAGGATGGGCGACACCTGGATGGGATGGCCTTAGGAGGTTGATGTTCAGCCAAGATGAACACAGACCAGCCACAATCTGGGCATAGACCCGTCAGGCCCAGCAAGAGGCATGGCCACAGGCCCCACTTACCACCCCCTAGGAAATGTTTGCATTTGTCCCACTGCCTTGTTCCATTTGCCACTAGAATAATTTTTGAGGAGTGGGGAAGAAACAGCAACTCGGTGAGGGTCTGGCTGTGCTTTTCTCCATCCACAAGAGGCAACACTTATGAAAGGGGGCAGGTGATATCTATGTGATCTTGCAGAGTGACAAAGGACAGAGAAAATCACTAGCAACTTCCTTCTCCTCCAATGACAAACTTCACGCTGCAAATAACTTGCACTTCAGAGCATCTGCCTTCAGAGAACTCCCCCAATACCATCTATTTTGTCTCAATTGTAAGATTTTGCCCCCTCGTGAAGGTGAGGTAATGATATCTATTCCCAGTGAATATGGGGGAAGCCAGACAGCTGGCAGTGCACGCCTTGTCACCAACCACAGCGGCTAATGGTGCGTGACAGTCGCATATTGTTACTCCAGAACAGGCATGAGAAATCCCAAGGCAGAACATGACCCCTGCAATTAGCCTAGTGAATAAAACAGACGCTATCAGAACTTCCCTCAACACGAGTTGCTTGCACCTGTTTAGAGACTGCCTTTGGCCTCTGCTTGCCTGGTCCTTACGACAAACTTCTTTTGGCAAGTGCTCTACTTTTCTTCCTTCAGGAAGGCATGTGACCCAGGCTGCACAACCACCATAATGCATGTCACTGACCGCAGTGATGCTCAGAGGGTGGGTGCAGGAGATGGTGCCTCAGTGCTTTGCAAAAGCAACCAGGGGAGAGGCATTCTCTTGGCACTGAGGCTTCTAAGAATAGAAGATACGAGCCTAGAGTGGTTGGCAAGCAGTTTGTCACTCCGAGGTGAGAGCCAGTCCGAAGAGGTGCCAGTGGAGAGTGAAGAGAGGGCAAGAAAAATATGGGAGACACTGAATGACTTCTAGGGTCTCTGCGTGCCTGAAGCCTTAACCTTCCAAATAATGCTCAAAGATAAAGTCTCTTTTCATTTATCCAGTTTGTGCTGAATTTCCATCATTTGCAGTGAAAAGGATCCTGACTAATATAGGAATTTAAACCTAACATTATCAACCATGCCCTGTAGTTATCTGTAATTAGAGACTTCCTTCAGGAATGGAGCACAACCTTGTGACACAGAATGTGTTTTGAGTGATTCACACTGTAAGGCAGACCCCAAAGAATTCTTATCCTTGACCTAATTACAAATAATTTTTTTTGAAAAAGCAGACTTCACCACTGTCCTGAGATTGCCAATTAGCCCATTTAGAAAAGATTTACTAATAAGGGTGGTGGGGGAGTAAATACTAGGATTAGCAATTGACATTAAAGTAGGTTATTCTGGAGTTTAGAAATACAACAGCAAGATGGTGGAGCCCTTTTGAGAACCAAGACTGCGGGTGAGAGCTTAGACACAGGAGAGATGGCCCATCTCCTTTGCCTTCAAAGACAAAATTCCATTATAGTACACAGCTTAAAGGTAGCTGTTTTACATGGATCTTAATCGACCAGACCACCAGTGCGTGGGCAACTGGAAATAAATTGGATTTTCAGGTAGAGAAATTACTTGTTTTAATCAAGTAAAAGTTCCTTTAGATATTTTCATTTCCTACTGGTACTTTGCTACATGCTTGAAAAGTAAATAACTTCTGAAACTTGCAAACCCCAGAGGTATGGTCTTTACCTCTGTAAGGATTGTTGTCTGG